AGGCGGACATTTGAAGCAATCAGTTCGACCAGGAAGAGGCTGATATTCCCCTTCCGGGCACAATTCACACTGAGAAGACAGTACGGAATGGAATGAGCCAGGAGCACATGGCACTAAAACCAACATTAGTTTGACTAATATGGAGAGGGATTACAAAAAAATCAGCTTATGGCTACAATTATTTTTCAGGGTAATTTAATTGAACAACACTGAGACGCGATTTGAAGCCTTCCTAACATGAACTTTCACACCGTGAAACGACAGTATTATTGTACAGAACCTCAAGAACAACCAAAATCTCTTGAAAACCAGTGAGAACCACTGAGTTCAAGCAGCATTTACTGCCATTACAATTATTCGATGGTCAGAATAATTAATACTCATATTTTTTCATCGAAATAAATAGAAGGAATCAACAGCAACCTTCATGGCGAACTCATGCGAAAGTTCCCAACATTTTTCAACTCTAAATGGTCTGATAGCTACAATTCTACTCACTATGAAGCTCTTTTTCCCACTCTGGACCTATTTTCCGTACTCTGTTAGGTACTGTAGTAGATAAAAAAAACTCACCACAAACATCATCGACGGTGACTTGCCCAGATTGGCAATGGAATTCATCCAGTAGTTGGAACGACGTCAAATCGGGGCGACCGTTTGGAAGTACCTGAAAAGTCTTACTGAGTGTGCTGCCTAGGTGGAAGAACAATTAGGTGCTTATGAGTTTTGCAGATCAAATGGTGATTGGTAGCTTGGGATAGGAGAGAAGACCATTCCTACAGATTTAAATAACAAGGCTACTTGAGCCATCTTCGACTCCTAGGTACCTTTTCAAGGTTGAATGCGCCTTGGTTGATAATTTCATTCTGCAGCACATCCACTACCTTCGATTTCTGTCCACTCACAGAGTTTAGTACAGGATCTCTGTAACATATAGATTCGCATGTACAATAAGGTACCCTTTTAGTTCCGCAAGTATCTGAACTGACTTGACAAATGAATAAAAACGAAAACCTTTTCACGGGCAGTTCAACCCGCACTTTGAAGGATGGCGATTCTCTCCTTGATCGAGCAAAATCATCCGAACAACCCACATCCACACGAGCACCAACGCAACCATTGATATCGCTAAATGTGTAAGAAATGAAGAAGTATCAGACCTGAAAAACTATTAAGAATGGTGATGATTCAAAAAATAGTATAGGTGGGAGGTGCATGCACCTGCACCCAACATCTGAAAAAGCTGCCCTATCAGAGTTTTGGGAAACCCGCTCTCTCACCGCATGTGAATTCGTGGGCTTACATTGACTGATATTTTTAACATTCCTGGAGTTTATCTCCGAAGAAGTAAAAGTTGCACCCAATTACTCGCTCTTTTCACAAAACTTTTCTACTATTGAAAACCCTCTCGATGGATTCTGTAGGCATCTCGTGCCTTACTGAATCTACTCACGTTAAGGAACAGATGTCCCATTTCTGATTTATGGAATGGATACTGGCTAGGAGACGCATGCGCAATGCATCACGGCTGGCTTCTGAGCACGGTGATGATCCCGGATAAGATACTCGCATCAGCATCACACGTGTGGCCGGTACTGACCTGAAAGCAAAAGGAAACAGTCAATTCCTTGCAAACTTATGCCAGAGGAAAGGTTTTGTTTCCCGACGCAATGACAATTCACCCACTTAGTGCACTGCGGATAGCGGAATATCAGCTGATTTCGAAGGCGTGGTCTCCACATTCCATCTGCAGCACAGGTGTAGAAGATAGCGGGTGGTCGCGAAAACTCGTAACCATCGCGGCACTCAATTGAACAAGCCTAAATTTCAGTTTGGAGCAGCATAAAAACCTAGAAACGATTAGAGAAAGGAAGTCAAGGTGGAGGCTTCACAAAATTCGAAGGGGCTCTAGAAAAATAGAAAAAAAGAGATGTAAAGTTCGAAGTCTATTCTGCGAAGGGACTATCAGAGTGATCGAATTCTACAATAAAAGAATTACCTTATATCGCAGCTGTGGTCCCCACGATTCACATGCTTGCACGCCATTGACAGGTTCCTCCAGCTGCGGGCAGTGTTCTCGTGACACATGGACCTCAAAAGAAATCAATGAATAAACAGTTATAACAATATTATAACAATATTACAAGAGAAATGAACGACGATTGAGAAATGCGAAAGATTTCCGGAGAAAACAGAAAGCCCTAAGTGAATATCGACACAGCATTACATAAATTCTACTAGGCTATTACAAGTTGCTGATGTGCTTATTAAAATTGACGGTCAAACGGCTTTCACACAAGAGCCAAAAATTCAGTAAATATTTTCAAAGTTCAAATTTGAACTCACCTTGAAACTACATTCAGCCGTATTCGAAGCATTGTCCTGGGCAACGTAGAGAACATCATACTCACCCCATGTGAACACCTAAACATTATTCCGTACACATTAGCTCTGTTACTTTGAGGCTATTGCTGTGAAAATGGGGTGTCACTGTAGCTATGTATGGCAACACGCTCGTGCTGATCAGAAAATATCAACCGTGTAAAAGATTCGGCAATTCATAAAATAGGGGTTATTTTTACCTGTCCTTGTTTGAAGTTCATCTGAATCTTTTTTAGCATGT